GTAAAGAATGACTATCGGGTATGTTCAGCGTTGTCTAAACTGTGTGCTACGGCCCCAAAAAATTTGACAACACAAACTAAAGCCTTTCATTCGCAACAACCAACGTTTAAAGCTCTAAAAATAGCAAATAAATCATAAAACAACAATTTAATCTCCAATTTAATTTCCTTTGTGCGTGTGAGATTTTGCATGCATAATTTTAATCAAAAATTCATTACATAGAACATGTCTTCAATTGAAGAGTCTACAGCAATTGTCATGTTTAAACATTGTTGGCGAATAAGTCTATAAGTTTTTATGGTCGCTTTGGGAGGCACAACAATGTTTTTTTGTGAACAAAGAACCACAAACAGTCTAATTGGCGTGAAAAGAGTGATTTAATTTGTGAATTGAATGAATAATTTAGTAAACGGAAACATTTTCATTGTTTGTGCCACTTACGTGGATGAAAAATGTGAGGAAATTCAGCTAAACATGGAAAAAACATGTGAGGAAGTGAGTATTGAAAGGTTTGGCTACTGTTTGAATAAGACGCAGTTTTTGGTAGAAGCGTTTTGAAGCAGAACTTCCCCTTTCTACATAAAGGTTGTTCAATTTCGAAGGAAGTAGGGTCCAAAACCTTCAAGTCTCTCTGTCTTTACCGATCTCAAGGATCCAACCAATTATGAAAAATAACACATCCAGTACCCAAAAATATTACCCAAAACTATCCTGAACTGTTCAAAGATCACAAACCTTCTGCCTAAACTGTCAAGTTATTCACTTTACAAAAACTTTTTCCTTCAAAGTTTCCTCTTTAAATCCTTAAAACCGTTTTAATTTTGTATTCTGTTCTTTTCGTACTCCAGTTAGCATTAAAACTCTAAGTATGAAATGAACTAAATGACTTGGCATGCATCATGTTGGAAATTCAGAGTTGCGACGACAGGTACCTGTCACAGGTAAAGGTGACAGTTTCTGTCAAAAGATCACCTGTCACAGGCCGTTACCTGTTCACGGGTCAAATTTTTTCGCCTATCACAGGTCTGACCTGTCAAAGGTTCTGCCTGTCACAGGTCGTTACCTGTTCACAGGTCAATTTTTTACGCCTGTCACAGGTCTGACCTGTCAAAGGTTCTGCCTGTCACAGGACGTTACCTGTTCACAGGTCAATTTTTTCCACCTGTCACAGCTCTGACCTGTCGCAGGCCTCACCTGTGACAGGTCGTCACCTGTTGACAGGTAGAAAAAATCTACCTGTCACAGCTTGACCTGTCACCTGTCACCTGTCACCTTTGACTATCGAAATTTTTTTCTTCTAGTGAAGTATAAAGATTTCATACAAAATTCATCAATTTTTTTTCTTCCTCAAGTCACGGGTTCAAATCTCTTCGCAAGCAACTTTCTTTTTTTGCATTTTTATGATTTGTTTTTAAACTTTTTTGATAAAATATTAAGTTTTATGACAAAGTTTTCCATTTTCATATTTTATTTCTTCACTTTCTATATTTTAACATGTATTTTAAATTTTTTCCATATATTTTCATACAAATTTAAATTTTTTTGTCATATTTTATCAATATTTTATACATATTTTATTTTAACAAGCTGAAATCTGATACAAAGGCTCTTTTCCTAGATCTGGATGTTCTAAAATCGTAATCTTGGATCATAAAATGGCATAAAATATTAAAACTAGTATAGACTTTGTCATTCGAGACCGCAAAAAGTCGAAATATATAAAAAATTATAATCCAAGATTACGATTTCAGAACATCTAGATCTACGAAAAGAGCCTTTGTGTCAGATTTCAGCTTGGTAAACTAAAGTATGACAAAAAAAGTTGAATTTGTATGAAAATATATGGAAAAAATTTAAAATACATGTTAAAATATAGAAAGTGAAGAAATAAAATATGAAAATGGAAAACTTTGTCATAAAACTTAATATTTTATCAAAAAAGTTTAAAAACAAATCATAAAAATGCAAAAAAAGAAAGTTGCTTGCGAAGAGATTTGAACCCGTGACTTGAGGAAGAAAAAAAATTGATGAATTTTGTATGAAATCTTTATACTTCACTAGAAGAAAAAAATTTCGATAGTCAAAGGTGACAGGTGACAGGTGACAGGTCAAGCTGTGACAGGTAGATTTTTTCTACCTGTCAACAGGTGACGACCTGTCACAGGTGAGGCCTGCGACAGGTCAGAGCTGTGACAGGTGGAAAAAATTGACCTGTGAACAGGTAACGTCCTGTGACAGGCAGAACCTTTGACAGGTCAGACCTGTGATAGGCGAAAAAAATTGACCTGTGAACAGGTAACGACCTGTGACAGGCAGAACCTTTGACAGGTCAGACCTGTGACAGGCGAAAAAATTTGACCTGTGAACAGGTAACGGCCTGTGACAGGTAGAACCTTTGACAGGTCAGACCTGTGATAGGCGAAAAAATTTGACCTGTGAACAGGTAACGGCCTGTGACAGGTGGGCTGTTTTTGTTGACCTGTGACAGATCGCAACTCTGGTTGGAATACATACACAAAAAAAAGGAACTGAAAATAGCGCACTTTATTCTGAAATGAGAGGCACTTAAAAGCAGTAATTTAGAACGTTTCTTTGAAAAAAAACTTTTTCAACTGCTGTTGCTTGTGTAATTTTGTTGTTCATGAGCTATCGCATCCCACCGAAGATTTAAGCATGAAAATAATTTATGGCATGTACGACCAAATAAACAACAATTGGTTCAGGAAAAGAGAAAATTTAATTTCAACAGTGAAATATAATTTTAAAGGAGCTTTTATATCCAGATGAAAATGAAAGTAAGATAAATTCAGTAAATAAACTGTTTATAAAGAAATGTTAAAGGAGCTATAAATCAATTTGAACATGTTTTTATGAAGGTTTGCTCACATTAGGAGCTTTAATACAATTTTAAAGAATATTAAAATTGCAAAACTTGGAATTCCACCTCCTCAAACTGAAAGAAATTTCAAATCTCAACTTATCTGAAAATACGAGGTACGCATAACCTACCTTGACATAAAGTTTGAAGATATTTTTTTGGAGCGACTCTAACCATTTTCTGTAAGCATTAGTTGAATTCACTTCAAGGGTGCGAAACTGATAAATTACATTTTGATGATTTTTGATCAATTTTCATCATTTCATCAGTACTGCACCCTTGATTCACTCTAAAGCTTTGTAAACCTGATTTAAGAATTATTAAATATTGTTGTCGATGCAATGCACAACTCTTCTATTTTGAAACTTTAGACCAAATTTATTCGAATTCGAAAATCCCGTCGATTTTGAGTAACAAATTCCTTTAAAAAGGGTTATGACTTATTACCAAGGGTGCGAAACTGATGAAATAGTCAAAAATGATCAAAACTAGTGTATCGGGTAGAAACCTAATTCGGATATATTCACACCGTACCATCAAAAGTTTTATGGATAGACCAAGATTTGTTTTGAAAAATTCGTAAGAAAAGAAAGTTTTTTGCTTTTTCTGAAGCAACGGCTGTTCCTACTTTGCCTAAAAACAATACAGCTCTTCTATAGAGCAGCACGGATCAAATGTAAAAAACTAGAAGTCTCTACGATGTCTCGTTATTGAGATTTTCTGCCGATTAACTTGCTTGCTTGCTTGTTTGCTTACAGAAAGCGTATTTTGCGATTTTCTCAGCAATGCCGCAACTAATTTGAAATCTGTTTTTTGCAAAAGATGAAAATTTCAGGCACAACCTTTTCATATCTGAACATTTTAAGCTATCTTGCTCCATATCCTCATAAAATTCAAAAAACTGATTTTTCAATCTGAACAAAACCAATAGATTCACACGTGAAACAGTGTCAATAATTATAAGCATGAAGTTAAGAATTAATTAAATATTTGAATTCATGAAACTGTAAAAAAATATTCAAATGAATAAAAAAATTGTAGTTTCTAGTAGCTACAGCACATTTAAAATCTGAATCTCAATAAATCGTTAAATTTACAGCATTGAATCAAACATCAACCATAATATTTAATTTAACAAATAATCCCATTTGAGAATTTATTTGCTACGCCCTCTATTAATCAACTAAAGAAGCTTAATATTAATTTATTGCATTAACATTGTTTATTTTACTATCAAAGGTTAGAATCTTCTTTACTTTTCTTATTTTTGCTAGATGGCGCCACATTTCAAAATAATATTGAATTTTATAAACTCGATTTTAATTTTGTGATGTCACAAAATTCATAATTTAATTAAGATTATCATTTTAGCTCTATTTTGATGATGTCTGTAACATGAGTCAAGTAAAAATTAAAACCAAAAAGAATTTTATTTGTTTGAATGCTTTTTTTGCAATATTTATTGCTAATTATTCTTAAATTTTTGGATATAAAAACTTATTGATTCAAGAAATATGATAATATTTATGCAAAAAATGTTATTCAGATAAGATTTTTGTCTTTGAAATCTAAATATTAAATCTGATCTAGATCTCTTGAATTTCAAATATTGTTTTTTTTTCTTTTTTTTCTACTATAGCTCAGGCATCTTAAAATATTTATTTTATTTTTTCATTAATTTACGATTAAATTAAAGCAGCAGAATATTTTCTATTAAATAGATTACATTCTCTAATTCTATCAATCTTAAAATCCTATAAAGGTTCTATTTGCACATTCATTTAGAAAAAAAGTATTATCCAATTTTGTTTTTTAGAACATTATTTGTCGCTTTCTTTGACTTATTAAATCTTATTTGGCTTGACACTATCCTTTCTAATTTTAAACTAGATAGGAGCTATTCTTTCTAAATAAGTGAAATTAAAATTGGATATCAGAGATCTTTTTCATTCGTAATGTTAAACTTATAAAATATTAAACTAGGGTCTGTTCAATTATTATGTAAAGCAATCCCGAAAGACATACAACATAAAAATCAATGTCAAACTGACTTCCAGGATGGAATGAACGCTGCACCACACTGGACTTCACCAGTTTTGGTGCTTCTTTAATGCCAAATTGTCAGTCATTTTTAAAGCGTGTGTCTTTCGGGTATCTTGCATTGCATCATAAATGACCAGTCCTTTAGCATTAAGACTTTTTTTTATCGATTAATTCGATCTTTTGCAAATTTATAATTACAAATAATTCAAGGGGACAACAGCATGTTGAGAAATTCTCACAAATTTTCCACAAAGATTCAAATTTTCTCATCGATTTTCAATCATTTGCTTTAAAAAAATAGATGAAAATTTTCCCATCATGTTGTTACCCCCTCAAAATAATTTTTCTTAATTTTTGTCTATGATACTTTAAAAGAAGACGTATCATTTCTTAAGATAAATTGAAGTAAGCATATAAAGGAAATGTCTACATTTACTGCAAAGATCTAGATTTAACCAACTTGATTCGATGCACGGTAAAAAAATCAAAATTTAATTTTTTTTACGTTTTAGTGTAAGGCCACTTTTATCATAAAAAGCTAAGAATTGAATCTGTTTTTCAAATACAGCACAATAAAATGATGAAGAAAGAAAAAAATTCCAGTGATAAAATCACATTTCAAATATCTATGATTGTTATATTTTAATTATAATGTGATCTACCTTAGGCTTTTTATTATAAAACTATTTTCTGTTTTTTTTCCTAGTTTTTTGATTATATGTAAAAAAAATTAATGTGATCACACTCACATTGTTTTGGGGTTTTTTTATTATTATTTTATATATATAATGACACTATTTTGTTCAGTCAATTTTCATCAGTTAGATTCATAGGTTTTTTCGTTACTCTACAATCAATGTAAGTAAAGCAAAAAAAAAGAGTTAAACATGTGTGGCTAGATTTCCAGCTTTTGAAGATGCCGTTGATGTAATAAATTGTCGAGATGGACTTATCGTTTGTCCTGTAGTGCTGGATGTTAATGCAGCTGTACCTATACCAACAATACTTCCTCCACCGTTCATATTTGATATCGTTGTCGTGGATGAAAAACTACTATTACAATTACTGCCCCTTGAATTTGAATAAGGTGGTGGAGCTGGTGTTATTGCAAGATTAGCCGTATTTAATGGTCCAATCAATGACGAATGCTGTTTTAAATATGGATTTCCATATGTTGCTGAATATCGTGGATCGATATTTAGTAAAGATTGATCTAAAATTTAAAGATAGAATTTTAATTAAAAAAACTATAAAAAAATTAAAATTGTAAGGAATACGAACTTGTCAGTCCATTGGAGGGTGTCAATGACGCACTATTTGGCAATGTGTTATGTAAAAGTCTTTCTAGTGGTCGATTTCTCGTTAAACTATAAGTACCATTTGTTATTGAACCTGTCGTTATTCCTACAATTGAAGCTGACGTGATTGTCGGTGTCGCTGTTGATGTGCACATTATCAAATGATTCGATAGACTCGAGCTAGTTAATACTGGTTTTAAAGAATTACTTAAGTTTAAACTTGGTGGTGGTGTATAGTCACGATTGTAATCAACATATGGGATATATCCATTGTTGCTACAACCTATTTTTGTTGTCTGTAATTGGCCAAATGAGTCGGTGAAATCTCCCGAATAGCTAATAAATTAAGAATAATTATTATAAATTCAGCTATGATAAAAATAAAATAAACAAACCGAAAATCAGGAAGAGCACTCGATAAAGATGATCCAAATGTATTTAAAGGAATTTTTGTTGAACTCATGTCGTGAGCTGAACAAGTCTCAAGATATTCATTTTCTCGATTTATTTTTATGTCACTTTTATTGGACGAGCAGTCACTCTCCTTGCACTTTCCAATATAATTATGATGATCATTAGGAATGACATCAGCTGGTGGAAGCTTTTTTTGTGTCTTTTTCGTACACATCAGCCATATAAGTATTAATATAATCAGAATTATGAATGATAAAGCTGCACCAAAGCATACAAAAAACAGCTGCGAATTGTCTAAAAATGGACAAAAATAGAATTAATTAAATAAGATGTTAAGGCTCGACTTTCGAATAAAAACTTACATTTATTTTCCGCATTCAACTCAATATCGACTATATCCTTGTCGTAATCATTTATTACTGTACAGTTATAATGTCCAAAATGTTTTAATTCGCTTCGCTTTATTATTAACGTGGATTTAATTCCGAATGGCAATATATCTTCTTGAATTTGAAACTCATTACTCGAATTATTTATGTCATGTCCTTTAAACGACCAACTAACGAATCGTGCCTTAGGTATTGAAAATGCAACACATTCAATTCGAGTACTTTCGCCGATTGTACCAAACTGACGACGTGTCGATGTAATCGTTGGAGCTCCCTTTAAATATATTGTTGCTTGCTCTATAATATCTGCATAACCTGGAACACTTGCTTTACAGAAATATCCACCTATCGTATTTTTTGATACAACTACTGTGAGATTAGACGACGTGCTAACAACCTATAACGATTGATATTGAGGATTAATATTTTGGAAACATTTCATAGGGATTAAAAAGCTTTTGTTATTCTTGCTAAAGATTTGTTCACTTATGACGTCCATAAAAAATGATTTTTAAAGTATAATAATTCTGGACATAATAACTGAATGACTTCCAAAAGGTATTTGTGCAAATAATAATTAAAAGGGGATCGAACCTTTCTTACTTGGTCGTGACCGGCAAATATCCAAACAATTTCGGGAGTTGGATTGCCGTCAACTTCACAGGAAAGCACAACGGTTTGTCCATCATCAGCTTCAACTGATTGAGGTTTTATTCTAAATACTGGAGCATAGCTTATATCAAGAGTCTCAATATCTTCGCTTTTACCAACAATATTCTTTACTTCACATTTGACTATGGAATCATGAAACGTTCGATTAATTGATGGTATTATCAACTCCGTTGATTGATCTCCAATAATTAGTTCATCATTGATATACCATTTGTAGGAATCCACGCTTGGATTAGCTTCAGCATGGCATGCAAATCGAACTTCTGCTCCCTCGGGAATTCTTCCATTTTCAAGAGTGTTACTTACAACTGATACAGTCACTTTAGGTGCAAATTTTACATCAATTTTAAGTTTTGCTGATTTATATGTTCGATCTGCAGTATTTTGAGCTTGACATGTTATTATCGTGTTATGATGATCCTTTTTTGGTGTAAATTTTAATACTGATCGAGCTTCAAATAATTTTGAATTTTCCATTTGTTGGCTCATATATTCAATTCCATCTTGAATTACATTCCCATGGCCATCAATCCATGTTATCTCTGCAGGTGGCTTTCCACCTTTTGAGACACATTCTAATTCAATTTCACTATCTTCTGTCGTTAGAATATGGCTACCTTGTATGATTTTTGGATTATCAGGTGGGACAAGAATGGTTAATTTTGCAGCATGTGATCGCAAACCTTGTTGTCCTACAAATATATCAATCGCATTAAATTAGCTATCGAATTGGGTGTTTAAAATTCAACTTACGCTTAGCAGGACCAACTTGACACTGATACTCAGCATCATCGTCCATCATAACTGGAAAAATGTCAAGCGAAAAATCTCCTTCCTCGTCACTGCCAACCATCGAATAACGATCAAATCCACTCAAATTTCGATGCTCTCCAAGTCCAAAACTATCTTTCGTCCATTGAATGTTTCCGACTTTCGCCACAACACGACATGGCAATGTCACACGTGAGCCAACAATTGCAGTTTGATCTTGTGGTTGCATTGCAAATCTTTGTCCGAAACGTTCATGACTCGCCACATTAGTTTGACGTGCGGCGGAAGTTACTTTTAGTAAAAGTAGCGTTTGTATTATAAAAATTAAGACACGAGTAATTGAAAGCATTTTAAAGTATCACGGATGCGTTGATTTGAATAAATCGTTAAAGCATTGCTATTGAACTGAAGTTATGGAATTAAGGACCGCTGATGCAGCTATCGTATTTTAGATGTTTTTTTTTTTTGATGACTAAAGTTCGTTCTTTTGAGTCTCTTTCATAACTGTAAATATAAAAAAGAAAATAGAAATTTAAATAAGGTTTTGATGTTCTTAATATTTTTTGAAAATTATTTTTAATTTGGGCTGTGCGAGAAAAATTAATTTTTGGGGGGTCATTTGGCAATGACGTACAACAAAATTGATATTTTAAACTTCCGTTTTTATTGTTTCATTTCGCATTGGGTTTAAGGTGTCACAAAATCTCCCCCCCCCCCCCAAAAAAAACTAAAGACATCATAAGTGAATGACTTAGAGTCGCAGTCAAACTACATCAAAGAAAAAAACAAGAAGCGCAGAGATATTTAAATATGAAAGAGATGCTGCAAAAATCGAAACCGTGAGAATGTGAAGCAGGTGTAATTTAACACAAAAAGTAATAACAATAATATGCGCACGAAATTTTAAGTAACAATATTTTTTTTTTTTTGAAAAATCAAATAATTAAATCTGACCTAATATTGCAAAGTTTTTAAAATTTTTAGAAATTTGTACTCAACAAGCTAATATAATGTATATAATAGACAACTTTTATATAAAACTAATGATTGCATTTTATAAAGTCACGCAACTTGTATGTTCTTCAAGTATTTTACAGATTTTTGATAGGTTTTTTTATAAAGTACATGAAATTGTGTTCTGTTAATGCTTATAAAACACCACAAAACATGAAAGTTGGTTAAGAGTAGTCAAGTGCACGAATTATAAACGGAAAAGGGGTGAAAATTGAGTTGAGTTTGTTGAAAAAGTTTTGAACTAGTTTTAAGCATAATTCAATCGAATCCGAAAATGTTCAATTTTAATCACTGAAGATCATTAATGAGTTCCTCCCCCTCCCCCCTCCATTCTTTGCTACGCTGAGTGTTGCATAGTTTGTAAAACTTCGTGCTTTTTTAAAATGATTAATTTTATAGATAAAATGTAATTAAAGTGAGTATAAAAGCATACATTGTGTAGTTATTCTAATGGTTTTGATGTGATTTACGGACCTATCATCATTAAATTTTTTATTTTTTCTTAGAATTTACAAAGAAATGGTTTTGAAGAAGCTACGTTCCATCACGTATTTATACTTATGGCTTTGGTTAATCATTTTTGGATGCTTTATTGTAAATATCTGAATATTCTAGCTATCGAAAGACAAATTAAATTTTTGATTGATGGTTATTCACTTATGAAGTCATCCCGGATAGCACAAGTCGATAAATCGATCAGCCAGGCCGATATTGGTCTGGTATAGAGCTGGATTCGTTTTAAATCCGGCTCCAAGCTAGAGTCACGCCGGACTAGCGTGAGATTTCGGATTGATTAACCGAATTGTGCTTTCAGAGCATCATTTAGGTCTAGAGCAGTGCTGGCCAACCTATGTGCCGTGAAATTATTTTGGATATACCATTGGTCATGGTTAACCACCAAGTGTGCCGTTGCACAAAAAAAGTTGGTCAACTCTAGACTCTAGAGAATATTCTCGATTTTTTAAAAATCCTAGTTTTATCCAAGAATTATGTGATTGAAAAGCATGAAGGTCTGAAATCCAAAATTTTGATGTCATAAGTGAACAGACCCTGTCTGCTTAATTAAGATAAAACGCTTTTAAAAATTCTCTATTTAATAGATTTCGGACAACTTTAAAGGCATTGATGGAATAAAACGACAAAAACAATTTGAGTTCACTCTCATAGCGGCAACGTGTTTTGTTTGTTTTCAGCTTTGGACTAAATCTGTAATGTTTTTTGTGTTGATGTCAATCTGGAGAAAGAATGATGAATTTAAAAATCTCAATTACAGTTTTAATCTCAATGATATTCCAGTGTGTGAAGAAAGTGTCACTACACACTTTTAAAATATTTTTGATTTGTCATAAATAATTCATGAATCATCAGTTAAAAAGAATATAAAAATTACCGCAAATTATGATTCATTTTTTATTTGAAAATGTTACAAATTGCAGAGCACCTCCTACTACCCGGTATAACTTAGTTTCCCACCCCTTTGTTCCTCCTGTTTTTTGTTTCCCACCCCTTTGTTCCCCCTGCTTATTGTTTTCCACCCCTTTTCCCTGTATATTGTTTCCCACCCCTGTTAAATCGTTACGTTATAAATAATCAGCCTCTGATGCACTTAATGACCTTAAAAAGTGTGTGATTAATATTAATTAACGGCCTGTTTCACTAAGGTGGATTATCCACCGATCGGATTATCCACTTTTTTAATCCGAGGATAATCCATGATTTTTTTTTAATTCGTTAAACTGCACGGTGAATCAGAAAAAATAGATTTAAAGAAAATAATTTTTTGACGATGGATTTCACAAAAAAAGATTATCCTAGTAGGTGGATTATCCGAAGATTATCCTGAGATTATCCTAGGATTATCCACATAATTATTCTAAAATGTTAAAACTGGGTCCCCCCAAGATTGAAAATTCGGATAATCTTCAGGATTATCCTAGGATAATCTCAGGATAATCCATATATTAAAATCATTTTTTTGCTATAGTCACTATCCAATAAAAAGATTTTTTCTCAAATTGTTCTGATTATTATTAACCAATTAATTCTACATCAGAAAAAAATTATTTGGATTTTCTGCGCATCGAAGAAATAGATAATCCTAAAATGAGGATAATCCACCTTAGTGAAACAGGCCGTAAGTTATTTTAAGCATCATATAACTTTATTTGGAACTTAAAAAAATCAAACCTCATTTTCTAGCTTAAGGATATTCATAAAACTTTGTTGAAAACTTTATGCATTCAATATTTTCTCCTCTAAAGCTACTAAAAAATATTTTATTACAAATATAGTTTCTGATCAATAAACCTCAGATAGTTCCTTGATGGCTGTCATTTTCAATAGTATGGGTAAGGTAGGAAAAAAAATATAATTCAAAGACGAGTCTAGAATGTCGCATCGTATCATTTGTATCACATGCAGTAAATGCATCAGTGCATATAAAAATACATAAAGAAAGATGGCATAAGAAAACCTCAAATGCATATTCTCATTTTCTTACCAACTATGCTGGAATCTTATTTTAACTAACAAAATAACAAGGCAAAGCATGATGCTCTCAATGTATAGAGTCAGAAAATTAAAACCACAGCAAGAATCAGAGAGCAGAGACATTAGTAGCAGCAGCTATATAGTACTAGGTGTTTGGTTTATTTCTTTATATTTTGAAATTCCATTAAATCTTGTACAATATTCCGGCAAAGATGTACAGGAAGTGTTTATTTGTAAACTCTACCATTTGTTTCTGTTGTATGTCCTTTTAAAGGTTGAATCAGCAGCTCTTATTATTTATATGCAACAAAATTAGATGCTTAGCCAGGAACATACTCAAGATGGTCTTAAAAATTTTTTTTTGCTTAATTCATAGCTTTGTTAATGTTTTGACCCTTTTCAAAGTGGAACCGAGTAGAAAAGAGTGGAACCGAGTTGAATCGAGTTGAATCGAGTAAAACCGAGTTGAACCAAATGAAACCGAGTTGAACCGAGTGAAACCGAGTTGAACTGAGTTGAACCGAATGGAACCGAGTTGGACCGAGTGAAACCGAGTTGAAACGAATGGAACCGAGTGAAACCGAGTTGAACCGAGAGAAACCGAGTTGAACCAAATGAAACCGAGTTGAACCGAGTGAAACCGAGTTGAATTGAGTGAAACCGAGATGAACCGAGTGAAACCGAGTTAAACTGAGTTGAACCGAATGAAACCGAGTTGAACCGAGTGAAACCGAGTTGAACCGAGTAAAACCGAGTTGAACCGAGTTAAACCAAGTTGAATCGAGTGAAACCGAGTTGAACTGAGTTGAACCGAATGGAACCGAGTTGAACCGAGTGAAACCGAGTTGAACCGAATAGAACAGAGTGTTACCAAGTTGAACCGAGTGGGACCAAGCTTAAGAAACTTGAGAAAATGCAACAGTTCAAGTGCAACAGTGGTGCAGCTCTCAGAAAAGGATCCGTTGCTTCAAAAGAAGGTTCAAGATTTTCTTTGCAAATTTTTTTAATTTTTCTGAAGTTTTTGAATGCAAGTTTCAATTCTAAGCTCCACTTTGGCTACGCTATTTGCAATATAAACCTAATTATCGATTAAATCTTCATTCGATGGCTACGTGCTTGACAAAAACTATTTTTAAATCTTCCCAAGATATTAAAAAGACAGCAGCTAACTTTATCTTCAATTAATTACTTTATGATCTTAGCAAAACTATTCTGTTTCAAGTGTACTTCTTGATAAAATACTTGATTTTTCTCTTAACAAACAGCTGCCGTTTTTATGAAGCAAAAAACGCATATATACTTATTGAAGAAAAATACTAAAATCAGGAAAAAAGAAAGAATGATAATGCAACATAATAATTCTTTCAAAGTAATTAACATTCGCTGCATTTATCAGTCTGCTAACCTTATATATGTATACATATATCGGAGGATACGTTTATACATTTTTTTGTACTTATTAAGTGTAACGCAAAACATGATATATTAAATTACTTGTATGATGTCCATAACGAAGCAAAGAACTGAATGCTTATTAAAAGAAGCCTTCACGCAAAAGCCAGTACATATAAAATTGCATTGATATTAAGTCGTGAAACGGTGATTTTTGCAACATCATCAGTAAAAACATAGTAACGCGTGACCACCTGCACATCTCAGCCAATCAAAAAGCAGAAAGGATCAAGTGCTTTTCGTCTTTTTTTTCTGATTCTCTTTCTTTATGTATCTTTTTAACCTCATTTACTAACTTGATTTTTTTTTTCAATTTTTGTCGCTTTTGCTCTTACATCTACAATTTAAAAGGAAAAGTTGAAGCGAACGTTGATTTTGAGTTTTTTTTATAGTAACGAAATAATAAGAGAAGCAAAGATGATAATATCTTTTTATGCTTTAAGGTTTACGTGAAACCAGTTTTTTTATTCTTTTTTTTTCTTTCTCAAAAGGAGCAAATTAAGGTATCATATATTTAAGTAAATTATTTCAGTTTTTATTACTTTAAT